AATATGCCTTACAGAAATCATGATTGGGTGGACAAATGCACATGTAGGATGTTTACTTAGGTGTTATTGACAAAAAATGAGAAACAACTGAGATTCCTAAGAGTCGGAATATGAAGCAATAGTGAAAACTGTTTTTTCTAAGAATTTAAATGCCATGGGGAAGTGGTCAAAATATACTCATTAAGTAAACAAGCACCATGTTTCAAAAATATAATACATTTGTTAGAGGGGGAAAAAAACACAAAAAAATTAGTAGTGGTTGCTAAGTTAGTCATCTTTTAGTCTTTGTTTATTTTCCAAATTATCTAACATTGGCATGCTCTTATGACCAGAAGATATGTTATTTTTAAAACCTAACTCCTTTTAAAGACTCTGTATGTTCACTAAAAGGCCTGGCACTAAGAACTGAGAAATGGGGTAGGCTTCATAATTCCATAGATGAGTCACAACCATCCCAGGTTTCTGACTCAGGAAATCAGAAATGTACACTATCTCTACTGTGGATGAAATGGTAAAGAAGGTGTGGTGGGTGCGTGCGTGCGTGCCTGCGTGTGTGTGTGTGTGTGTGTGTGGTGTAATGGAATATTATTCAGCCATTAAAAAAATCAGGCAGTCCTACCATTTCTAACAACACGGAGGGCATGGCACTAAGTGAAGTAAGTCAGAGAAAGACAAGTACTATTAGGATCTCACTTATATTTGGAATAAAAACAAACAAACAAACTCAAACTCATAGAAAAAGAAATCAGAACTGTGGTTACAGAGGCAGAGGGCAGAGAGGGGAAATTGGAAGAAGGTGGTCAGAAGGTACGAACTTCTACCCAAAGGCCTCGAGACCTTCCTGCGCTGACCCAACCCAGTGCAAAGTCCCTGTTGGTGATAGAGAAAGTCAATAATCCAGAGGACGATTTCACTTCCTTCGCCAGAAAACCTCAGCTGGGACTCACACAAACCAAGTTCACAGAGATTCAGTGCACGGCAGGCCCTCAGTAGATAACTCGGCTGATTCACAGCAGCAAAAGCAAACAGCGCAGTGATGTCTCAGCACTTACTCGCTCCGTGACCTTCTCTTCCCCTTGGGGAAAGGACTGTTGGGGCACACTCGGAGGTGGTGCTCGGCAGATCCGTGCACTTGAGACACGGAGAAATGTATTTTCCTGGCCCATGTTCCTCAAACAAAAGTGACATAGCTCGGCCCTGGGAAGAGGAGCCAGGAGCCGCAGCCTCCCACCTACCAACAAGCCTTCTCCGCGTCTGCTGTCTGCCGGATGCTAGGTCACCGAGAGGTCTAGAGGCAAGTCCACCTGAGATCAGGGGTGCGTGACCTACAGGCCCCAGGATGGAGGCAGAGTTCACCGGGAAGAAGGAAACTCATGGTGAAACTACATCAAGCTGAGTATCACTTGAGACAGTGACCCTGAATAAAAATAATACATTTTGAATATGTTGGATACATTTTTTATAAATGAATAAGCTACTGACATTCTGAAACTGAGGGGTTTTTTTTGTTTTTATTTTTATCAAATGAGCTTTATTCTTAAACTGGAATTCTTTTCTCGTTTAGCTACTTCGAGAGTGGTGGAGGTACATGGTCAAACCAGTCCCCCGGCTTCAAAGCTCAGCACCCCTCCTTGCTGTATGATGTTGAGCAAGGGCCTCAGGATCCCCACCTGCAGAATGGGGACAGCAAGACTATTTGAATCAGCGGCCACTGAGAAGGAAACCAAAGGCACGCAAAGTATTAATAACAGTGCCAGGCCCACAGTGGGCACTAAATGTGGACTATATTTCTCTTCCTCTTGGACCATCTAACCCTAACTGCCCCATCTGTTCGGGCACATTTGCTCTGTGGGTCCTTTTCCTCTTCTGTGTGTCTCAGACTCATCAGGAGTCGAAAAACCCTCCCGACTGTGGAAGTGTTGACATTTTTCTAAAAGGGCCATTGAACCACGTGGTCAAGGCCACACCCAAAGCTCCTAGCCTCTGATCAACAAGCCAGGTGCGGGCCAGCTTTCAAAGGCAAAGCGTCGTTTCTCCACGCTGGGGGGTGACAGGTGGGAAAGGGCCTTAACTTCTATCCCTGCTCTGACCTGTGTAGAAAAGGCACAGGTGACCCACTCCAGTGGCCCGTACCCGGGGAAGCTATCAGAACTCCCAGGAGCCCCCCGTCCCTCCACTCACACCCACCACACAGAACCACTCCCTCGCCGGTGCAGAAACATCCAAAATGAAGCAGAGTTCTGCTGTCTCCTCACATGCCTCACAGCTGACTCGACACACCTGTGAATCACAGGGCTGTGACGCATGGCATCTCCTGGGTTACACACGTGGGAGCAAGTAACCCCCCAAAGCCACCACGGACAGAGCAGGGCTCCCAGCCTGGGCCTCCGTCCCACCCCTCAGCCAGTCTGACAAGGCTCCCAGGCCCCTCCAGAGAAAAGACGTGGAGACAAAAAGCAAAGGACTGCGAAGAAGCCAGGGGCACTGTGGGGCAGTTACTGAAGCTCGAAAAGTCTGTGCTGTGAGTACTTCGTCATCAACGCATCACACGCCAATATCGAAAGACAGGTGGATCTTCAAAGCAATGATGAGTAAAGGTGATATTACAATGTACCGGCATCTCCTAAATCAGGACACAGAAATATCCGTGATTTCTACTGGTGACGAGGTCACAGGTCCTGCTAACACCCTTGTGCTGTTTTCCACGTCCATCATGACAGGGAACGCTGCGTTTCTGTTAGAAGCTAATGAAAATAAAGATGTCCCTTGTTCCTTTACAAGTTCACAGAACCCCCCATCTGTCTCTCCAGACCCTTTGGGGGTCCCAGAAGCTCAGTGCAAGCCCTGCTCTAGAGGGTGCTCTATTTAAGTTAAGAGTTAACACCGGGCCGTTCATTCAGTCGGGACCTGGCGCACCCCTTTGCTCTAAGCACAGCCCCCGCAGGGGAGAACGCAGCACGAAGGTAAGACCTGCTGCAGCTGTGCTCTAGGAACCTGCAGGATCTCAGCTCCATGTTGACGCGGGTCCTTCCAGTTTTATGACAATCTGTGCTATCCACTGCCAGATCTACCTAGATTCCTTTTCTCGCTCTCTCTTAAATACAGACAACTAACAGCAAAACAAACAAACCAAAAATAAGCCGCCGTGTTTGTTCAAGTCTGCTGCTCACGGGTTCTAAAAGCTATGGAATAAATACCGAGTCCTCCACGCTTCTAGGTCCTCTCTGTTAAAACCAGCCCCGCCCGAACTGTAGACACGGTGCAGGGCTGGCCTGGGGCAATTCGGGTAAAACAGTGAGCCGGTGCATGGTGCTCCAATGACACTGTGGACACGAGAGACCCATCAGTGTGTGACAGGAGGGACCCAGGGGCCTCCTGCAGCAGAAACAGCCACGAGGGCTCCTGCAGAATCGTAAAGGAGGAAGGAACACGCAGAAATCTCCAGAAAATAATTATGTTGTGAATTTTTTGTGGAGCAGTCTGAAGGAACCTCGTATGGCGCCTGCCGAGGAGGTTCCCCCGACACAGGTTTCCACACAACACTGCGTGTCCTTGTCAGCACAGACACTATGAGTGAACAACTTGCAAAGAGTCTCCTGATGCCATGAGATACTCCAGAAGCTCTCTAGCTTCAAGCTGACCATGAGCACAAGTCCAGCATGCTTCACACCTGCCCTGGTGTGGGTGACTATCCTCACTCCTTTCGAAACTGGTGATTTGCAGTGTCCACACAGAGGCTGGAGGGTGGGCATCAGGGGTAAAGACACAGTTTAAGTAGAATTCCTTTCTTATTAATCTCTGACAGAGAAGAGGTGAAAACAGACTCAGAGACATGTTGATGGAGAATGGGTCGTTCTGACTTGTTCATCACAAATGATTTCACAAACTCAAGAAAACGGAAGATCCGCCTGTAGAGATTATTACAGGACACCTGACAGATGCATGATAAGCCTGTTTTGAACCAAGCCATCTCCAAGTAGAAGCAGGGCTGCGGTACTTTTTTAAGGCGACACAATGGTACGCAGATATGCCAATGATGTCACTTTGAGAGCGGCAGCACTAATTCAGACCAGCCAAAGTGACGAAACAAAGGAGACTGCTTTGTCCCAACCATCTCATAAGACTGCCACGACTTTCTAAAGGGTACAGAGTTTCTGCCAAGGTACCTCTTGATGAACATCAGAAATATCGTTAATATGACTTTTTAAAATTATCACATTTTTTTCCAAGCCTGCAAAATCAGGTTTCCCGCCCTTGTCATCACAAACACCCTAGCGTACTGCTCACCCTACCGGCAGCAAGTTGGGTTCACGGCTGCGGGGACACTGAAGCCCAGAGACACCCACTCGGTGGCCTCTGGCACAGAAATCGTCAGCTTGGTCTACGTGTCTTGCTGTCTCATAGAAACACTGAGTGGCCAAGATGTTCCCAATCAATACCTTTGGCTTAAATGCCGACAAACTCCTTCCCAATGAGACTTTCTAAGGACTCACATGGTACTTTCGGTTTAGAGCGGTGGTTCTCAACCTTCCTAATGCCGTGACCCTTTAATACAGCTCCTCGTGTTGTGGTGACCCCCAACCATAAAATTATTTTCGTTGCTACTTCATAACTGTAATTTTGCTACTGTTATGAATCGCTATCAGAAATACTTGCTTTCAGATGGTCTTAGGCGACCCCTGTGAAAGGGTCATTCGACCCCCAAAAGGGTAGTAATCCACAGGTTGAGAACCACTGGTTTAGAGGGAAAATGGGAGCATTTTCAAATTCTTCTGGGCAGTTCAGAGGAAGTCGGTTCAAATGGAAATCCGTACTTATTCCCCACTACTCTCGATTCTCATCAGAACACCACATCCAGGCCTTTGGGGGCAGAACCCCGCAGCCAGGTTCTGTGAGCACCACCCATGGCCGGCAGGCACAGGCCTTGTAAACAGGACGGGGTCGTGGGCATGGCTGGGAAGAACTGGGCGCCACAGAGCCCCGAGAGGGGCCAGACTTACGGAAGTACTTCAGCGTCTCTTCAATTTGCTCGGTCGTGAGGTCGATGTTGGCATCTGGAGAAATGAGGGGCGTGTGGAGCCAGTCGTCATGGTCATAGCCGTAGATGGTGTCAGCTCTCAGCTTGTAATGGGGCAGCTGCTCCTCCAGCAGGCTGATGATCTCCACTTCCGGAAGGTCGGTGCTGTTGCACACGTCTAGAGAGAAGACAGAGAAAGTCAGGGCAACACGCGTGGGCTCCGCATCGGGGCCGGCTTCCTTCCCCCTTCTCTGCATCACTCCATCACTGCACACGTCGGCACACCGGCTGTGGTCCTGCCAGTGGCCTAACTTCTTCTGGCCGCGCGTTCACCATGCAAGTTATCCCCTCTGCATAGGATTGTGTGTTCATTTCACTCATTCATTCATCTGCTCGCCCACCTACATTTCCTTCCACGCATCCATCCAGATACATCCTGAGTACCAGACGCACGGGAGACACAATGGTAAACACAACGGCCAAGGCCCTGCCCGTGCAAAGCGTGTGTTCTCACGGGCCCGCCAACCGCACAAGCACAGGTGTCCTCCATCAAGGCACAGCTTGACCACCACCTCTGCCCTGACAGACCGGTGCTTCTGTAATCCACACCGAGATATTTTCCTTGTCTCCTCAAATAAAGTGGGAGGGAGGGAGGGAGGGAAGTTACACTGTTGCTGACGTGTACTCTGCAGCCAGGCCTGCCATGGTCGTTCTGTCCTGAACAGGTACAGACGTTTCTTCCTTGTCATTATTCTCCAAACAAAAGAGTATAACAACTACCTCTACAGCATTCATACTGTACTAGGAATTATCAGTAATCTAGGGATGATTTAAAGTATAAAGGAGGATGTGTGTTGGTTATATGCAAATGCTAGGCCATTTCATATAGGGGACTTGATCATCCGTGAACTTGGGTATCCTCAGGGGTCGTGGAACCACTGCCCCTCGGATACCAAGGGTATTCACAGCATTTTGTCAGAACAGCTGTAACCGCACTATGAAGTTCTGTGTCCTAGGTATTTTAGTATCTGACTCATCTCCCTGTGAGATGGCGAACAGCTCACATTCACCACATCATCATACCCAACATCCCACATCATCACAGTCCACACACCGTTGTCCTCAGTCCACCACATGTCCTTCGCACTCCCGGCCCAGACCCTCAGGGCTGCACCACGATGCCACGAAGGTGACCGAGCCACCCAGCGCACATTAAAGCGGGCCTTTTAGTTACATTGTAAATGCAGCGACAGGACCAATGTTCCCAGGACAAGAACCAGTCTTACACAACTTACCTACCCCCAGAAGAATGAATTAAATAAATGCTAATGGGTATCTATTAATTCTGACGTCAATCACTGTATCAGCCCATTTCACGGAAAGTACTTGGGACCTATGACGGTAAGTGACCTGTGTGAGCAGCAATGGTTTAGTCAACCCGTAAAATGCAAGGTGCCCACGGTGCACAGAGCTGGGTGGCAGAAGAGCTAACTGGGCTAGCAATGAGCCTTCAACGAGAAAAACCACTTGAAAGATAAGACTACCATGGGGTCAGTTCTTCAGAAGGTGGTGGCACCATGTTTCTGCCTTGAAGCAGAAAACAGACAGTGGATCTGAGTGGGAACCAGTTCAATGTCCTCTCGAAAGTGTAAGAAAGGACGGGGGCGGGGCAGGTGGGGGGGACTCTCAAGATAAATAAAACCCAACAGCAAGAGAAGATGAAGAGGAGAGGCTGACAAGAGATCAAAATTACAAGGTGTTGCCCTGGCCGGTTTGGCTCAGCGGTTAGAGCATCAGCCCTCGGACTAGAGAGTCCTGGGTTCGGTTCCTGCTAAGGGCACGTACCTCGGTTGCAGTTTGTCCCCGGCCCTGGTGGGGGTCGTGTGGGTGGCAGCCACTTGATGTGTCTCTCTCACATCACGTTTCTCTCTCTCTCTTCCTCCCTCTCTCCCTCCGGCTCTATCTGAAGATGAATGTAAAAACGTCCTGGGGTAAGGATTAAAAAAAAGAAATTACAAGGTGTCTCTAAAAGATGGAAGTTGGCATTCAAGAGAAAGGCCCTGCCCAGGCGCACAGGAAGTGCAGTGCAAAGGCTGGGTAAGTCCCGGGCTCCACGCCAGGGGTGGGGGGGGCAGCCCATGGAGGGAGCAGGAAGGGCCTGGGGCCCCGAAGTAGGCACAGCAGGGAGGACCAGTGTCTCTCTGGGCATGCACCCCTGCAAAGAACGCAGCCGGGCAGCGACTGCAGGGTGCTCACACTCAGGTAGAATGTGGAGACACCTGTGCCCGAACAACAGCTGTCCAAAGAACCACCCAAATGCCTGTCTCTTTCGTGGTCAATGAGACGGCCACAGAGCAGGCGAAAAGTATACGGAATCACAGGTGAAGAGACCAGCTGCCTCCGTCCGGGCAGGAGTCCATTGCGGTCACCTGCAGGCTCCCCTCCCACGCACACTGCCCTCACTCCCTTCCATGTGCAAAGCTTCCCGTGGAACACTCCGGCGAGGTCAGCGTGGCCTGTCGAGGGCCCGGGAAGAGGGTTTTACGTAGAAAGTGAGGACACTCAGAACTTCACTGGGGGCTTGAGGGAAGCTCTTCACTCCTGGAAGGGCAACATCAGCTGGACCCTCGGGATTCTCTGCCGTGTGTGGGAAATGTCACGGCACGCGCACCTGGCGTTTCAGACAACTCTGCCACGCTGCGCAGTTCTGTCCCGGACAGAAGTGATGTCCTCCCCGGGGCCACAGCCCACAGCCCAACCTCAAGTATGAAGGCCTCTCCTGTTTCTTCTCATCTCCCAGTAGCAACAAACACCATCCGAACGGTCTGAGATGGGCCCAGAACTGTCTCCGCTCACAACCACTGAGAGTTCCCACAGAGCTCATCTCGGGGAGGCCTCGCGGCTGGAACGTGGCTGCCACCTGACTGCGGGGACACGGGGTCACCTCTCAGCTGGACACGCATCTGCTCCGGGAGGCAGTGCCAGCCTGTCCCAGAACGGGCAGCGGACCAACAGTCCTGCATGACGCACCCACACCCCAGGCTGGAACCCTCTGCTCACTGCTCTTCCGTGGTGGAGGAGGCAACAGTGTCCAAAGAAGAAAAAAATCCCTTCTAAGAATAACGTGTCACTTGTGAGCGCGCTGGCAGCTGCTCCAACGTGGAGACTTGATCTGTCCTTCCATGTTTCCAGGGCTGAAGGTCAACCTATTTACAGTGTGGGTCCGTGTGCCCAAGAAAGATCATTTTCCTTAAAGCATATGGTGACCAGTGAGGTAATGTATCCAAAGGCGAGGCTGTGCCAAAACGCCCTTTTAAAAAAGCTCTGTATATTTGGCTTTCCATATGACCAGCCACGAACACCAGCAAGTCTTCCGCTGCCCGGAAGGTCCGGAGAATTGGGGCACAGGGGAGCACTGCAGAGACCGCTCAGGGAGCTCGCCTTGACCCTGGTTGCAGGGCCACGAGCCCCGGGACGTCCCGCAGAGGGAACCGCCACAGGCTCATGGAAAAGACACACCCGATGGTTTCTCCAGAACCTCTTCTGCTGGCCACACCAACTTCTCACACATTTCTGCAGAAATCTTGCTTTTCACGCCAGCTGTTCGAGCTGCCTTGAACGCCCTTCACTGCTCAGCAAACTCCATCTCGAAATATCCCTCCAATGACCCTGTCTTCTGGCTATGGATTTAGGAGGCAGCTTGCTTCAGCACAATGTTACAAGTGTTAGCTACTATCTCTTCTCCACTAACCATGAGCCCCTCCGGAGAAAAAGCTCCGAGCTACCCCCTGTGCGTCCAGCCCTCCGCACTGAGCCGGGCAAGAGTGTCAGTGAGTGTCGACGGACAGTGGAATGAAGGGAAGGAAGAGTCCGCAATGCTGGACACACGCCGGCCTTCAGCACGGGGGACGTGGAGGCCCCTCTCAGAACCACCCTAGGCCCTCATCCCGCATGGAGGCAAGTCCAGCACAAAGGAAGTCCCCTCAACCACTTAGCACCCGTCGATCTGACCCAAGGCTCTCCCTTCTCATGGCGCCCCTTTGGGAGCAGACATAATGGGTCCTCCCCCTCCTCAGAGCTAGACCCCCCAGGTTTTCTCCGAGGCATGCGGTTTGGAGGGGATCCTCCTACCCAAGGATGAGAACCTCGCTCAGGACTGCCTGGGAGAGGGAGCTGGAGCCTGCTCAGCGCCCACTGGGCCTGTCCCTTCTGCCTGACTTGGACTAGACCCTCCCCTCCGGAGAGCGGCGAGAAGTAGGCCCCTCCCTCTAACAATCTGCAGATACACAGGTGACAGGCCACCTACGCGAAACTTGCCAGGTGCACAGGATGATGCTTACATTTTTACAGCAGAAATGGCAGCTATACATTAGAGTCCGGCGTTTAAAATCAGACTCTCGCGTATGAAAACACAGATCTCTGGCCTCCAGGACTCCACATCGCGCACTCCGAGGGGCAGCCGTCCTCAGACGGAGCGGGGCTGCTCCATCGGGGTCTCCGGGCCTCCGGTGGTCTGCACGCTGGAGCTGGAGGGCTCTGGGCCCGGACAGCAGGGAGCTGAGAGCCGCAGGGAGCAGTGTGGGCAGAAGACCTCTCTCGGAGAACAGTGTCCTAAAAAACCTCCCAGCCCCCAGCAGATCCCGGGAAAAAAACTGCAAGGTAGAGGGATGAATAAAATAGAGAGAGAGAACGGGGCTAGACAAAGAGGAGAACTTAGTGAGAGAAAACGGGGAAATCAGAGGAAGTCAGCAGCACAGAGGGCACAGAGGAGAGATGGAGCCAGGGTAAGGCGACTGCGAGGCCAGGCAGCACCACGCTGCCACCTGCTGGCAGGTGCGAGGCGCAGGCGCAGCAAGAGGGCTGCTCCGGCTCCTGGGAGAATGGGACCCACTTCTTCTCCCTGCCACCCAGCAAGACACATCTCCGTCTGTCCGGGACTCAGTTCCTTCACCTGGAGAAAGAGGGGTCAGGCGGCAGAAAAGCCCTCTTTCTAGCCGAAATGTCTCTGAGCGGCTAGACCAGGGCCGCGTCTGGGGGCAGGCGGCCCTCAGCGACAGAAGCCCCGGAGACGAGATGTGTGACTTCTTCCGCATCTTTCCAGGAGAGTCTCTGATTTTTAAATGTTGGGCACTAAATCAGACCCGTGTGACCACCCGAGGGCCCGAGTAAACTTGTGTG